AAGATGGAATATTGTCAGTGCACCTGTTATGTGTGACTACCAAGCTGTCACGACACTCTGACTGTTAAAGCTGGATGATACCTATGTCATAATGACCAATTTCGAATTCCATATGCTATTTTCGATGTATGTGTCTTAGATCTGTCACTTATAAGATGCTAGCCTTGCTCCAAGGCTGTACTGAATGCTAAGTGAATGGATGTATTGTAATTCTATCCTTTAAGGAGACCAGTCTAGATTAGCGGACAGTAATGATCATCTAAATATTATTCATTATCTTAGAGACTTGAGCAAGTCTAATACAATGTTAACTCAATTGTTAATCTCCATGGCCAGCCATCATGGTACTCTGTCACAACAGTGTCACTACTAATATAAGGCCAGTTATATAACGCTGAACTCCCCGTACCAGGAACATGGTCTAAGTGCATACAACATGATGGACATTATTACCCCGGATGAACCAAGCTGTCTGTGAGGTGCTAGAAGAGTAACAGTCATATGACTTATCCCACCCATCTGCTGGACAGGACAGACGTTCAAGAAACCACTCTTTGTTGTCAAATACTGACAAACAGGATCACCCACATCCAAGACCTCCGTGACCACCCTTGCTTAATGCACATGACCACTCTACCACCACAACAACCTACTTTGTCCATATCGATGACGTCATTTGTGTCAGTTGCTCTTTGATATAAAAGCCTTAGTTCAGCGACGTGAAATAGGAATGTCTGACCATTAGCCTAGCCAGGGTTAGAGTGAGCGTGGTTCTGTTTCACACATTGTGGAGTCGAAGCCAGACCTTCAGATTTGTACTGGTCTTATCATAAGTTCATGTCAATCAACCATTTCATCCTAGCCATTTTTATCCATCTATCCATTTTTTCTGTTTCAATCTATCATTTTGGATTCGATCCATCCATCTACCTTGAATCATCTCCCATCATCCATCTATCCATTTTCATTCATGCCCTATCATCCATCTATCCATTTTCATTCATCTCCTATCCATCCATCTATCCATTTTCATTCATCTCCTATCCATCCATCTATCCATTTTCATTCATTCCCCACCATCCATCTATCCATTTTCATTCATCCCCCATCGACCCATCTATCCATTACCAATCCACCCACTCCAAAACAATCTCGTTAGCATCCTGACCAAGGCGCACACACCAGCGCGCTACAAGTAACACCGACACAGAACCCGTTTGGTATACCGCAATGAGGCAATCCTCCATCAACACACGGCTCCCTTGACCCCCGACCTAGCCAGGTAGGTGTGAAGTCCTGTAGGTACAGGACAACTGCTTCACTGGGGTAGAACTCGATCTTTACATCCAGCCAGCGTCAGCTGTCACCGTCAGACAAAGGTATCAGGATTTAGTGCTGTATCATGAGGTATCCTATTAGCCGTACGGCGCTCCACGATCTTACAAATTATAGCTTCCCCACCATGGAGTCTAACCCCGAGGTATACGACAAATACCACAAAGTCTAGGGCACCTAAACCAACACTCGAATAGCAATCATTTTAAGTTGTAAAACATCGCAGGTTTAAACCAGTAACTTCATGATAAAGACTTACACAAGCGAAACTTTTACGTCGTATTGACCTGACGTATTGCCATTTAAATTTAAATGTCCGCGAAAGAGAATAATGGATCACTCTTATCTGGCGAAAAAGATTCCATTAGATCACAAATGCAAATAGCGAAATCCATTGTATGATTAGATCACAGTAGCTTAATATGGTGTCGAAATGAACAGTAATACCCGGATATTCCTGACCTCGCTTGTCCGGACCCTGAGCACTCTGGGCGAAAGGTTTCGGGGAACGTCTACAGATATACAATGGCCAGTGCAGGTTTCGTTTATCCGGGATAGTGTAGTCCAGATAAACGAGGTTTCATTTCACATCAATAGCGTCTTCACTAAGTACAAGTTAAGCACTCGAAACCGAATAAAAAGGACCAGACTCTTTACTTGATCAATAATGACCAACAAGTGGGGAGAGCAGAATACTAGGCGCGTAATCCTTTAGATCACCAACATCATGCAGACTACGAAAATGGGCTATTGCTCCTTGATCGGGAATTGAACGAGTTCTATCTACTTGCTAACCAACTCTTACGAAGCCAAATAAGTACAACATGCTGCTGCTGTTGCTGTTGCTGTTGCTGATGATGATGATGATGATGATGATGATGATGATTATGATGAAATATGTAATATGTGATACAAAACTTCAACTATAGACGATCGCTACAATTATAACTTCAATGTGTGATCAACTGGGCCCTATGAGTGAGTGAGTGAATATTCCAACAACATCACGACGGTGAACCCAAGAAACCCAAGACGGTTTCCCACACTGTTACCATGAGGAAATTCGAACCTGGGAATTCATAACCAGCGAACCTTTATAATCAACCACAAGGTTTCCCAGACGCCTGCAGTACCACACGGTGTGCAAAGTACAATTGTCTGGATCATTGGATTGTCTGGTCCAGACTCGATCAATTACAGACCGTTGCCCCGTCTTACAGCTGAAATAATGTTGACAACAAACCAAACACAATCTTGCCTCAAGGAGCATCATTAATCCGTATGCTCAAATACTGAAGACATCTGTATCTCGGCGCCTTCAACTACCAACATGACTACTATCAGTATTTCACGCTACGGCGACTAAATGCCCAGCTATAGCACGGAAATCCCCGTTGACAAACGCCCGTGAGTCTTAATGTGTTTGATAGGAAATCTGACCGGAGGCTAAAGCCTCACTCACTCAAAACCTAATGTATTATACTGTTGAGTCAGTATCTTACCCGAGAGAACTGTACACAGCTTATCTCAGGGCACAGATCCAATAACATTGATCGAGCACACAAAATCAACTTGGATCGAAGTTCGATTGAATTGACTAGTGATCTCGATAAACATCTCGTCTTGAATATTACAGATTGGTTGTGGTTTAAAACGTGCTTTCAATCGTTGCTGTAAACGCATTTTTAAACTGATCATTTCAAACTTAAATTTAGACTCTAAAGTATGGCCAGTATCCAAAAATATAACTATACAACTCAAAAGAGGTTAGGAACATTCGATTCTCTTCTGGTAATAATAGTTAATCCGTCATGACTACCATATAATCAATTGCATAGATTGTAGGGGTGGGTATTGCAGGGAATTTTCATATTGCGATATATTGCGATGCGAAAGCATGTATTGCGGTTTGCATTGCAATATATTGCATGAAGTATTTTTAAACAAAAACATACTTATAATCGCGTTAATGCTTGATTTATAGAGCAAAAACACAACCAAATTACCATGCTTGATTAAGCTTTAATAACAACTTTTAATCATGATAAAATAAAAATGTGAATAATATTTGGCACAAATGAAAAAAGGAAATGCCCGAAGATTTCCGAGTGTTACGAAGTTTTCCGATTGCAAGTCAAAATACCGGTTTTCGATCAGCGTATCGCAATACCTATCGTTTTCATGTCTGAACCGGTAAATACCGGTAAACCGGTTATATTGCGCAGCCCTAATAGATTGATGCTCATGCTGTTGATCACTAGATTATTAACAGACCGCAACCATATAGCTGGAATATCCTTCAGAACGGTATCAGTTACATTCCAGTTAACGGGATCTGGAATAGCAGCCATTTTATAATTCAATAATTTAGTAGTATAACCTCCTGAATTATACATAGTATAGTCTCCTGAACTGTACCTAACCTTCTCAAGCTCTACCGTAGGCGTAGATGTCATGGCCTGAAAAACACGCAGCCTTCAATAGTAATAGCATCGCCCTGTTAAACCGAAGAATGCACTATATCATGCATTATTGAACATGCATAGGCTGCACTGGTTGACTTTTCCCGTGTAAATGCAGACAGGGCGCCAACGTTGTGAAGCTGTTCCTCGGTCGCACGGGAGCTAATTATAAAAACAAGACGTGCTCGTCTGTGTAAACAACGATTGTGTACAACGTTTTATCATCTGGTCTGGTTTCACGCCGTTCTACAAAAGCATATATTATTCAGGAAAAGTATGAGGAAAAAGGCAATAAGTTATTTACGGAAGTATATCACATATATGTAGCTGTGATAACGAATATCACTGCGGTGAGTTAGTATTGACCTATAGGCACGGTATAATATTTAGGATATAAATCACATCAATCCATAAGGCGTGGGGTGGCCTTCTGTTTAAGCGTTTGCTGGTCACGGTAAAGGCATGGGATGGATTCTTTGATAAAAAAAGATATCATTGATCTCTCCCTCTCTCTCTCTCTCTTTCTCTCCCTCTCTCTCTCTTTCTCTATCTCTCTCTCTCTCTCTCTCTCTCTCTCTCTCTCTCTCTCTCTCTCTCTCCTCTCTCTCTCTCTCTCTCTCTCTCTCTCTCTCTCTCTCTCTCTCTCTCTCTCTCTCTCTCTCTCTCTCTCTCTCTCTCTCTCTCTCTCTCTCTCCCCCGTGGCATGTGAACAATCTGTCTGTCTCAGTAAACCACTCGTCTAAAGTGTTTGAATAACATTCCACCAACGGTATTCAAAGCTTTCACTTAATTAAAGTTCAATGAAGTGAATAGTTTTTAGAGAGTGTTACTATACCCCAATATAGAATATATCTCACTATACCGTAGGGTGATAAGTAAACCCGTTACCTAATTCACACAATACTACCTCAAAAGAACTATTAGCCCTTTCACGCAGGGACGAGTATTTCAAACATAGGTCTTACCCATTAACGACTTCACGAACCTACTAAACCATGAACTATTGAACATTAAAACATACAAGGTTTAGATGCTGTTTGTCTATTTTTCTGATGAAGACAGTACATGTATATGTCGTTAGCTCACCTTATGTCCCCAGCGTTCATACAGCACGTGCGGGTGATTCCGGGTCGTATCCACGATATCCCGCTAACACGAACTGGTGTTGCCCCACCCGCTGACCCAGTTAAGATGTACACTCACCTCGCCAGACAGACTCGGCGAGACGGACAACCATACGCTGCAGTAAGCCTTCGGGACACGCACCTTTATCGCCGTACAGACACAGGTGACTTGATTGACAGATGCCGATAGACCATGTATATTTCACCGCCCCAGTTAAAAGCACCACAGTGGCATCGGAGGTCCTGTGTGAGGTATATCGACGGTAGTATGTTGTGTGGTTAGGAAGTGGTTTCATCTACATTGTGAACGGATAGGATCGCTGTTGATTTCACATACGGTTTACAATCGATAGAGAATAAACCATGTGGTAGCATTATGGTTTTTTCCTTGTACATATCACTTTCTTTATACAGAACAACATTAGCGACGCCACTGATATTCTCGGAATGTAGATGGTATTCTACTTTACTACCTACTCAGGTTTTATACATCCGATCTCTCCGTCAGTAAGACCTTGAGTCACTGACATGTAACGCGCTATCAAGGTATGTAGGAGAATCTACTCAGAAATACGGATGTTAGCTTGTTTTCACAGTAGCCTTCAAAATATAAATAAATATTGTTTTCTATCATCAATGTAACAGAACACGTCACTCAGCCGCTTGGATTGAGTGAGTGTGTGTGTGAGTGAATGAATGAGTGAGTGAGTGAGTGAGTACATGAGTGAGTGAGTGAGTGAGTGAGTGAATGAATGAATGAATGAATGAATGAATGAATGAGTGAGTGAGTGAGTATGTGAGTATAGGTATGTGTATTAGAGAGCGTGGTTGAGGGACAAGTGTGTGATTTACTGCTTGAGTAAATGAATGGATGCATGAAGGAAGGAAGGAAGGAAGGAAGGGAGAAACGAACGAATGAGTAAGTGAATAAGTGGTATGGAAGTGAGTTAGCAAACGAGTAAGTGAATGGATGGATAGATGCATGAATGGATGGATGGAAGAACGAATGAATAAGTGAGTGAGTATGTGTGAGAGTAAGTTAGCGAGCGAGCAAACGAGTGAGTGAGTGAGTGGATGGATGAAAGAATGGATGATGAACGAACGTAGCAATGAAATAAAGTGAATGAGTGAGTATGTGATTGAATGAAGGAACGAACAAAGAAAAGAATTAATGAGTGGAGTGAATGATAATGAATAAGGAGTGGTATGGGAGTGAGTTAGCAAACGAGTGTGAGGGATAGCAATGAAATAAAAGTGAATGGATGTGATTGACAAACGAATGAATGAGTGAGTAGCGATGCAAGCAAAACGAATGAAGTGAGTGGATGGATGGATCGATGAAAGAATGGATGAATGTGAATGAACGTATCAATGAAATAAAGTGAGTGAGTGAGTATGTGATTGAATGAATGGAACGAACAAAGTGAATGGATGGAAGATTAATGCGTGGATGTGAGAATGTGTGATGTGTGAAGTTAGCGAGCGAGCAAACGAGTGAGTGGAGTGAGTAGATGAATGGATGAACGGACGAACGAACGAATGAATGAACGATTGAATGAGGAACGAAGTATGTGAATGAATGAGTGAATGAGTATGAGTGGATAGTGAGTGAGAGGAATGAATGAGTATGTATGAGAATGAGAGGGAATGAATGAGTGATGAGTGAGTTTGATATTGCGTCAATGCATGACCAAGACGGGACAGATACCCAAGAACCGAATGATTTCACCACTGTGCTACCGCCGTTCCTTACAAGGCCTCTCAATACAATGTATATAGAATTGAATTTCCATATAAGATGTCTCAAACCAGCAAGGCCAAATTATATATTACAGAACGCAAAGAGAAATACTAAGGATGTGCACAAGTATACCCCACACCGATCGACTATCCGTCTTCCCTGACCCACATGAGTCAAGCAGTCACAGCGCCGATGATGAAATGTTACCAAGCATTCACCACTTGTGGACATTCCTCGGATGCTTGGTAAAGACGCTGACTGGGGTATCTAGGTGTGTACATAGCGTGACAGCACGTGACGGGGGAGGATAACATAGGTTTACCTACAGATCCCCCATTCCTTGGGTCACAGACTAGTCGCAAGTCAATTCTTCGACTGTTACATACGGCGTCATGGTTCTATGGCGCTCCATGTTCAGAACTACCGGTAATATTCAGTAGCATTGCAATAATCGAGTTTTGAGGTAACCAAACAGCGTGAGTTTGGACGATAACAAGAATGGGACGTGACGACCATTCAACACGTGGATAATCTTGTTAACAGTCACACGACACTATTGTAGCGAGTTCTGACGACACAGTCAACTAAATGATCAGAGAGATAACGGTCTGTCAACCCTCTCGCCCAGCAAAGGCAGTGGAACTGTATTGCCCACAGGGTCTAGATTACAGCCATGCAAATGCACTCTTCTATATGTCTGGTCACAGGACATGTGACTGTTCCAGCAATGTCAACCGTGGTGTAGCGGTTAGAGCGCCCGCCCGGAGAGCGGAAAGTCACGGATTCGACCCGTCCGCGTCATACCAAAAGACGTCAAAATATGGTACTTGTTGGTCCCTGATGGCGCTCGGTATTACTGTGTACAACAAGGACTGGTCGGCTCGGAGTCAGTATAATGTGTCTGAGTGGGGTATTCATGCTTAACTGCAGCATAGTATCTCAGTGAGCTAGCACTATAAAATCAGTCAAGGCAAGTACAAGCAGCCACACATACACACGCATGCACGTCGTCATATGGGCGATATATTCTTAAGTGCGACGTTGAACCAAATTTCACCTCACCTCACCTCACCTCACCTCGCCCCCAGCAATGTCACGGCAGGATACACCAGAGTGAGCTTTGTACCCCTGTGGGGAATCGAACCCGCAATTTAGACGTGACAAGCGAACGCTTCCCCACTAGGCCCTAACCGCACCAGGAAAAATGTACACCCGAATTTGTTTGTACATACGGACCATATATATCTTTAAAAGGTTTGCCCTACTCGTGAATATCAGAAATTGATTCACTTAGAGCCATTCTATTCCTTTCAGTGCCCCCTACAAGCTATTTGTATGTTCACAGTATGTCTATTAACAGAGACAACGTGAAATGCGACACATACGCACATAACCACTTTACTTGACGCGTATGTCTGAGATATACAACAGGTTATGCAACATACTGAAAACATTTACATTACCTTACTCATCCTACTGATCGGTATTTAAAAGAATAAAGATCAAAAGGATTCTCTTTCAAGCATGAATGGTGGGTTCGACGTTAGAGCTGTACTAACGAGTATTGATTGACAAGCGCCGAGCTACTCATGGAAGGAATTGTGAAATAGTCAAATCGATTTGTGTGGACATTATAAGATGTCATCGAGGTGTATCCAGAAGGGTGAGCGAGTTTATTTTTACGCCGCATTCAGCAATATTCCAGCTATAAGGCGGCGAGCGTATCCACAAGGCACTGGAGCCATTTCAACAGTCACAGTAGGCAAAATAAACATGGGTCTGTGACCTTTGGAAAAGGGACAAACTTAAGGAAAGTGCAGTGATCAAACTCTATTTCGCAATTCCTTCTATGTGAGTGTTAGATCTTATCAGTCAACCCACGTATATTTGAGAGACTATCCTTGCGTCTTGCTTCAGGACAGGTTTCTCGAGGTCAATCTTAGTATTAAACTGTCGTTACTTACTATCGCTTAAATCACTCAACGACAAACAGATCCTGTTTGATACAGCTGACAACACCCAACGTCCTCACAATACATAGCGTATGTGACGTTGTACGGTACTGCTTTCTAATCTGTATGTATTTAAGCTGTATGTATGGCAACCTGTAAATAATCGAGTCTGAACAAGATAATCTGGTTTGGATCTATAAAACATTGAACATCAACGCCAGAGTTGAACAAGTATTGATTATCAGACGAAATCAATCCCTAAACAAATTCCACTGGGCGCAAAAGGCTAAAGAGTGGTAAAACATATATGGATTGATCAATTAAAATCAATAATGACACTAGGTGTTCGAGGGTGAACATGTCCTGCCCTTCGCCCCACGCCGTCAGAGAGCCTGACCATAAGACTACCGTACCGTACTACCGTATCCCGCCGTACGCTGTGTTGAACTGCTATATGTATACAGCCGTATGTGATGCTGTACAATACTTCTGTATATAGTCGTATACGATGTTGTACTGATATGTACAGTCGTAGGAGATGTTATACTGTTACATACAACCTTATACAACATTATGCTAGGTTGTAGCATCGTAGATGTTGTCGTCATCGTCCTCAATTCATACTTTTCTACGTTCACCAAAATGTCATCGCGGGTCAATTACTCGTATTGTGTTCTTCTATTCACAATGCAGATAAGGCCACAAACATGCATTGTTCACTCATATACCGTCCCATGGCATGTCACTGACCTCATGGTCGGCCTGGCCAAACAACCTGTACAAAGTAGCTCACTCACCCGCAAAGGAACGCTGATATGTGCCGAAAGGTGATCGATGAAGTATTTTGGGTCGACAATAGAGCACACATTGTCACCATGGTTGTGTGAATATGATGTCTTGACTCGCCATGTGATCTACTGAAGGACGATAAACACGTACAGTGTTTATACATATATCTGGTGGATCGTAACATCGGAATGCTGAGGTGGTTGAAATGTTTACAACCACGAAGCGAGTGCGAGTTTAGTTTTACGCCACTTTTAGCACTATTCCAGCAATATCACGGCGGGGGACACCAGAAATGGGGTTCACACATTGTACCCATGTGGGGAATCGAACCCGGGTCTTTGGCGTGACGAGCAAACGCTTTAACCATTAGGCTACCCCACCGCCCAACCATGAAGCAGTTTAAGTGCTGTTACGTCATCTCTGTGCTGGGGGAATTGTATTGCAGAGTAAAGAAATATATAAAGTAGAGGTAAACCTTAGGTATACCACTGTTGTGTTCCGGCTCTAGGAACCGTCTCACAGCGCGTCAAAAAGGAAACGTTAGTATTGCAATGTTAAAACTACTCACTGACACTCATACTCCACCGTTCCTACAACATTGGCACACCACGAGGGACATACAGACTGTTCTCATGTTCTCGTAATGGTGTATATCAATATCCAAGGTGCCTTTGTACAAAGCAACCTTAGCACTACGACAGTCGTAAGTCTATGTCCACCAGTGGGAGTTACGATCACAGCGCGAAGTTCGCTTTATACAACGGCACTCTGAA